GGTCTTCCAAGGGTCACCCCATCCATCCCCGATCTAGGCTGGCGTATGCTAAAGCCACCCACAGAAATGAGAGACCGTCCTAAACCAGGGCATAGCACAAATGACTGGTATTCCATCAATGGCTGGAGGATGGGAGGAGAAGGGAAGGAAAGGATTCCGCAGCCTTTTCCTCCAAATCCCTCGTGTTTGTCTTTCAGGTAGTTCTTGTCCTCTATTCCCCCTTCCTCATGCTGTAGATGAGGTCCACTGTCTCTTGGTGAGACTTCAATTGAACCGAGTCGCTCTCCTCACTCTAGAAACTAGGAGAATAATACTTTGTCCTGACTACATCAGCTCTTGCTCCGGGCCTTCCCACCAAACTTACCAGCAGGGCAGAGCCCCGGTATCTGATCCTCTTATAAACATGTCCTTCCTTCCTCCCTTCCTTCCTTGAATTTCCCTCCACCCCCTGAGAACTTCACGCATACTAGTAAAACCTTGTGGATGGGAAGGGACAAAGATCTACATTCCGAGGAAGTGACTGTTTAGTTGGATGGCTCAGTTACTACTGCTGGATAACAACTACCCCAAAATTTAATTTAGTAGCCTTAAACAACAACAACCCCTACGTTTGCTTACAACTCGGTCAATTTGGGGAGGGGATGTCCTCTCTCTACTTTGTATATTGTTGGCTAGAGTGACTGGTGTTAGAGAATCCAAAATGTCTGATGCCTCAGCTTGAGGTGGCTAGAAGACCTGGAGACTGGCCAAGCTTGTCTCATACATCTCATACATATTCTCTCTCTCTCTCTCTCTCTCTCTCTCTCTCTCTCTCTCTCTCTCTCTCCTTTCACCAGCAGGATAGTTGAGCTTCCTTATAGTCTGGCGTTGCCTTCCAAGAAGCTACTTTGCCTCTTAAGGCCTAGGCCTATAAGTTCCTGAATAGCTCCTTCTACCGCATTTTCAGTCAAGGCAAGCCATGAAGCCAGCCCAAACTCAAAGGGAGGAAAAATAACACTCTACTTCTTGGTGGGAGGCACAGACAGCATGTGGGCATAGGGAAGGGAAGAACTGTTGGCAGCCATATTTGCACACAGGCCACTACAGTGATACTAACACATGAAACTGATCCAGAATCCCGCCCACCCTCCTTGCAGGAGGTGTTGTGGGAGGGAGGAGAGTGGGCCAGCAGGTTTCCTGGAGCAGTGAGGCTCCAAAGCCCTTGAGGGAGGTGACCAGTGTGGGTAACCCATTTGGGAGAAGGGGAAGGGATGCAAGGATGAACAGAGCAGAGTATCTCCAGGGAAAACAGCGGCCAGACCCGAGGGTGTGAGTCCCATAGGGGGGAGATGAGCTCGGAAGGCAGAGCAGGTTTTGGGACTTCGTCAGGTCTTCTCTGGACTTTGAGAGATCCTTGGGAAAGTCTCCAAAGAGCAGGTGTCTGGGCAGGTCTCACACCATTGGAGGGATGTGGTATTTTCATTCTCTCCTTCTTTTCTCCATGGTCTATTTCAAGCCTGTTCCTCTCATCCGAAGCTGTGTGTTGCAATCTCTTGCGTGCTTAGGTTTCTGATCTTCCACTGACGAGCCCAAGCCCCTGGAGACATCTCTTGCCTTGCCTTGCCTTGCCACACTTGGGGAAGTCTGGATTTCAGCCCTGGGTTTGGCCACGGCTACATCCTCCCCCTGTCCCACTTTTCTTCTGCCTGTTTGTATTCAGTCTAGACGATTCATTTTTGTTTGTTGATGTCCTGCCCTAGCCTGGGGCAGCTGTGGTGTAGTGGAAAGAGCACTAGAATTGGAGTCAGGAAAACTGGTTTAAATTCTGGCTTGGCCATTTACTGACTGTGCGTAAATTCGGGCAAGTTATTTACCCTCTCTGAGCCTTCTGCTTCTCATCTGCCAAGCAATAATAATAAGCCCCATCTCAGGGGTGGCTAAAAGGAGGAGACAGTACCAGCACCGACTAAGAGGCCTCTGCTCCTAATCCCTACCGGCTAACTCTGTTTTGTTCACTCCCCTCAGCCAAGCCCTGCTCAAGTCCTCACTTGTGCAGCAAGCCCTCTACCAAGCACTCCTGGCCTCACCACAGAAATCCCTTACCCATCTTCATAGCCTTGGGATGAAACCCTCAGTCTCCATGCCTCAGTTTCAACATCAGTCATTTAACAAATGTTTGTTGAGCATAAACCATGTTCCAGGCATTGTTCTAGGAGCTGGAGATACAATGAACAAAACAGACAAAAATCTCTACCTTCACAGAGTTTGCATTCCAATGTGGAGAAGGAGGAGACAGACAAAAGAGGGGGTCAATTTTAAAGTAACACTGCCCAAAATGGTAACCACCAGCCACATGTGAATATCGAGCATTGAAACACAGCTACGATCGAGATATATGATAAGTATAAAAGACACACCAGATTCAGAGATTTAGTACCAAGAGAATGCAAAATTTCAATAATTTTTATAATGGGCCAGGCACGGTGGCCCATGCCTATAATCCCAGCACCCTCTTTTTTTTTTTTTTTTTTTTTT